ATAATCCAAAACACACTTCCTAAATATAATTAGGAAGATACTTTCTTAATAGTTTTCAAAGATTGCTGAAAATTGAGGAAGGTTGGACCAAAAGTACAGAAAGTGTATAAGAACAAGGTATTCTTGATAATCCACGGAAGATAGACAATTCCAAAAGATTAGGAGCATGTGTAAGTAAAGCACATCATAAAGGGTATTGGAGATTGCAAGTATTAGATCTGTGAATCTAGTAAGTTTTCTAGGCTAGATCGTACTATATGTTCTTGTTGTCTATAATTGAAGTCATTCACTTGGTCCCGAAGTTTTTAATCCTGTGAAGGATTTTTCGTTGACAAATCACGTGTTGCAATTCAACATAGGATAAAATTGACTTAATTGACTAAATATCTAGAATAATTAAAAGGTGACTTATTGCTTTTAATTGATCATTTTAATTTCGTGTTATTCACCCTACTCTAGGTGATTTTAGCATCAAACTGATAACTTTCATAGTACTTCCTAGTTTTACTCTTCGTCATTTTCTATCGAGTGTTTTCTTTCTCTAACTCATGATTGCTTTTGCACCCACTAATAATAAGAGATTGTATAAATTTGTTGTATCCTAAGTTAGGAAAATCTATTTGTTTTGCTTAATTTATTTCTAAGCGTTCATTTGATCCTTTTTATTGAATTTCAACTTTTTTTCAAACTTGTTGTCAATAACACATTTCGTGAAACTCACAATACTTCATCTACTATTATTATAATCTTTCATAAATGTTAGTAAATATTGATGAAATGTATTGTTGAAGAGTTGTGGATCCTATAAAATATGTTATTAAAATTAATATTCTAAAAAACGTCTAGGTGTGAAACATGCTCACAACATTTTTCATTGACAGTAAGTACAACTTAAATGGTCAAGTGCTAAGTTGACTGCTTAATGTACGACTGGGCTTTATTAATTATGTTTTCATTTTTAAAAAAGAAAAATTTATTTGACCTTAGTTTATTAACTTTTTTTTCTTTTTGAAATGCTCTTATTTGATTTTAGTTTCAAGTTTTAAATGACTTTACAGGATAAAGATTTAGATAATATTCAAGTTATAGTGCTATCTATATTATATAATTATGATTTTGAGATTTATCATTTTGTTGAAAACTTCAAGTATGTATGAAGTTACTTTAAATTTTTTAAGTAAAACTTGTTTAATTAAAACTTGAAATTATGAAAAATAGTTTAACTTTTGCACTTGGAAAACTTGAATATTGTATAATTTGTTATAAACTAGAGAGAATAAGAGAGAAACCAATAAACTTGTGTATTTCATTAATAACCAAAGTCTCATATTTAAAGGAAAGAATTAAGGTGAGTAAGGATACAATAGTCATAATGACTATGGCTATAAGGGTATAAAAGCCATTCATAAATACTACTATATTTACAGCACTCTCTTTGAGTGACTATTTACACAATAACTATTTCATTGAAATATTGTTTGCAAAAAAAAAATAAAAAATCCAATGGGACAGAAATGTCAACAAATGAAAAGGAATACAAGTAATTTGGAGCAGTAAAATGCTGCCTCATTAAAACCTTATTGAAAAAAATACCAATGAGACAAAACTTGATCGAAGGAAAAAAAATATAGCTATTCTCCCTAATTTCAATTTTTGTATCAAGCGATCTATGTATTGTATGTCAATGTCTTTAATATTGATATCTTGTACGCTAATATCTTCACGAAAAACTAGAGGGATAAAACTTGATGATTGCAGTAAAGGGTGATTCAAAAAATAGCTCTTATTGATCTCTTTGAGAGCCTCATACATATAAATGCATTATTTTGAAAGTAAATTTCATGTATGTTATGGACATTTAATACAAAAATAATATGTCTCATTAAAACTTTATTAAGAAAAACCCTTTGGAAAAATTCTAATAAAGGGAGGAAAAAAAAGGTACATTATTCTTTTGAAAACACCACAAAGTTGTCTTATTAGAAACCTTGCCAGAACAAACCCAATCAGACAAAACTTGGTCAAGGGAAAAGGAGTACAACGCGTATTTACTCCCTCTCATGATATTATCATTTGAATTATGCTTCAAAGCATATTGAATCCTTCAGAGATAACATTAATAGTCATGACATATAAGTTGACTATAGCGTATTTCAAATTTCATGCATCGTTAAGACAATATGATATGGACTCGTGATTTCATCCACTACAATCTTTGCGAAATTCACTATGTTGAGAGTCGTACACTACATATTACGGTTGACTTTTTTCATTTTCATTTCGTATGTGTATACACCTTTAGATGTTCAGATTGTAGATTCAAAAACTTGAGATTTCTCTAGTAAGTTCCATTTTACTAGGATCACATCTAGAAATTCCAAATTTCTCAGTAAATTCAATTTTAGTATTATCGTGTCATTTTATTTGACCACTCATTACTCAATCGATACGTTTTGACAAATTTATTTCGATTCCTCGCTATATGATACAGTATGTCATGTGTAAAAGCGTTGTCGATAACTTTTCTTTTTTTATTCTATTTCCTTTGCATAACAACATAACTTATAGAGATATCTCGATTTTCAACATATCAGGTACCTAAACCTCTTCTAAAGTTTTATAATTTGTTTTTCTAAATAGTAATCAAGAGTGGGACCATCTTGCTCCATTTTCATTTGGAGATTTCTTGTATTAGAATCGAATACCGTCACGCTTCAAGCGTGCCATAAATATATCAAATATAATGCTATCAAATTATCCTCATAGGACGTCAATTCATATTGGAGCATTCAAAGTTGGTGATGAGATATTATTGATCTCTTTGGTTAGTAAATGTATCTAAATAAATTATCTTTCGAACTTCTAATTCGAATGATCTTTTGCGAGGGTTTAGATAATGATACATTTGTACATTATTTTCAACTTGTTAACTCCTCCCCAAGTCTTGAGGAAATTTTCCAATCAAATTGACAACCACTTTTATTATGTTATAAAATGTTATCTATTTGAGACAAGAGTTCAAACTACGTATGTATTTTTATCATTCTTTACTTTCCATCACATTGCATTGTAGTGGATCAATTTTACATGTACTTCACTATCAAAATAATTAGATGAAAAAATAAGGCTCTGACCATAAGTCAATTACAACGTGAAGAATTATGAAATTGGTATGATGCATAATAACATTCTCTAAACATAAATGAGAAGCACTTTATTTTTGATTAAATTATTTGGAGGCGTTTACCAAGCAATAATGTTAAACAATTTATCGGCCTTTTCAATTAGCACTTATCAAAAGGTTGATATATATGATCACTAGCATTTACAAGATACATCGTCTTGATTGTATAATCAAAGATTATTCTCACCAATAATTTTGCAAACTTTGGATTGTGAACACCATGCAATTATCTAGTGTATGTATCAAATTTATTAAATACAAGTAATATTTAAATGGTCAATATGGAGGATGATGGGGATTCATTTATCACCCTATTTAGTTTTCAAAAATATAGGGAATTCAATCCCAATTTAGATAGTGACGATAAATGACCAATTTTCAATAAAGGGAACAAACATCAAATACGAATTCTTTGGATTGAAGAATCTTATGGTTGTTTTTTTAAATGTCCATTTGATTCTCATTTCACATCATTATTGATCCAATGATGGTCCAACCGATCATACCAAACAAATTGAACTTCTGATTCAATATAAGATATAATTCAATTATTTAATTTCAAAAAATATAATTAGACATTATATAATCATCTAATGATCAATATTCACATGACATAAGTCGTATGCTTCCTTCATATATAAACACAAATTCAAAATTTGCATATCATATATTCTTCAAAACACTTGTCATTTTGAAAGCACGTTATTTTTTATTATTGCTTCTTCAAGAGCAACATTGATATTCTTCTGTAATATTGAAATCACAGTGTCATGCTCTTCGAGAGTAAGTAAAATATAACTTTAAAATAAATAATAATGTGCTATTTCAGGAGCAACAAGAAATTATTATTTAGAAAAATTAACTCCTCAAGAGTATATTTTCTATGATAATATAATATTTACAGAGTTGTTTCTTCAAGAACATGTCAATATTCTTCTGGAATAATTGAACATTATAATTCATACCTTTCATGAGCAAATAATATTCTTCTAGAATATTAATTATAATATTATGCTACTTTAAAAGCAACATGATGAATTATCAATTCAAAATTTATAGAGGAGCATCTAAAAAATTTAATCAGTTTAAAGATACACATAGTATTCAACAATCATCATAAACTTATATATTTTACAAACATAAAGACAAAAAATTAAAGCGCAGAATACATAAAATTTGTCTTCTCGTTATCATAATATTTTATAGTAGTTAAATAAATACGAGACTTGTTGTTTGGTTTGGTTTTGAAGACATTATATACTTCATTTTACTATAGACGATATGATTTCATCATTGATTAATGCAAAAATCATGAAGTGCAAATCAGAAAAAAAAAAAAAAATATATATATATATATATATATATATATATATAGTCAGGCATTATTAGTAGTAAATAATGGCAAATTATTGACTTTGGTTTGTCATTTTTGCTGTCACATTTTGTAATGTCTTTGTGTGTATTAAAATCAGCCTATGTTAATTCTATTTTTTGTGATTATAAAGTCTATCAATGTATGGTTATTCTGCCACTAGGTAAGGCTGTAGTTGGTAGGAGTTGTTGGCTAATGGTATGGCTGAAAATCTCTTGTATTACACTTTAAATAGCTGCTGGTAATGGTGCTTTTTATTTGATGAATTTTACATAGCGGAAATCTGTTTTTCTCTTCCTCTTTGTTCTATACAATCCTACAGTGGTATCAGAGCCATTAACTAATCTTTGAAGGGGGTTGCAAGAGGTTGAGCTACAAAAACTTGAGAGAAAACAAGTAAGCAATCCTTCATAAAAACAACCAAGTGACTTGTGAGGAAGTGAGATGGCTTCAACCGGTTTTTCAGTACCTCTGGCTTCAGCATTCACAGGAGAAAATTATGACTTCTGGGCTGCTAAAATGAAGGCATATCTGAAGGCCTATGATCTATGGGAAATCACAGAAACTGGTATGGAACCACCTCCACTCAAGGCAAATCCCACCATAGCTCAATTAAAGCAACATAGTGAGGAGGTTGCGAAAAAATTCAAGGCTTTGTCCTGCATCCAGTCAACTATTTCTAATGTAATATTTACCAGGATAATCACTTGTAAGTCTGCCAAGGAAGCCTGGGACAGATTGCAAGAGGAATTTAGAGGTAATGCAAGGACTAGACAAATGCAAGTTCTAAACTTGAGAAGGGAGTATGAGGGATTGAAAATGAAAGAGGCAGAATCTTTCAAGGATTTTCCAGATCGACTAATGAAGGTTGTGAACAAAATAAGGTTACTAGGAGATGATCTACCTAATAGAAGGGTTGTGGAGAAAGTTCTAATCAGTTTGCCAGAAAAATTTGAGGCAAAAATTTCATCACTTGAAGACTCGGGGGATCTTTCTACCATAACCTTGTCTGAATTGATAAATGCTCTTCGGGCTACTGAGCAAAGAAGATTAATAAGGCAAGAAGAGCAGGTAGAAGGAGCCTTGTTTGTTAAAGAAAAATACAAAGCACAAACAAGCAATGAAGTAAAGAAATACCAGCAGGAAAAGAAGAGGGGTGAAGGCAGCAAGGCTGCTGATAAAAAGGACACTTATCCACCTTGTATACATTGCAAAAAAATCGGTCATTCACCTAAATGGTGTTGGTATAGACTTGGTGTCCAATGTAGGAATTGCAAGAAACTTGGACATGTGCAAAAAGTGTGTAAAAATCAAAAGGAAAACCAGAACCAGCAGTAGGCAAAAGTGGCAGAGAATGAGCTTCAACATCTGGAGGAGCATTTGTTTACTGCCATTAATTTTAAAGCTTGCAGCAATGTTAAAAATTGGCTATTGGACAGTGGTTGCACACACCATATGTCTTCAGAATTCAGCACTTTTGTTGAGTTAAACGGCTCATATAAACCAAGGGTGAAGGTTGGCAATGGAGACTATGTGAAAGTAGAAGGGATTGGAGTGATTGTTGTCCAAACTCCATCAGGTATTAAACATATTGTTGATGTACTTTATGTACCTGATATCAATCAGAATTTGATAAGTGTAGGCCAATTGATTGAGAGGAGTTACACACTGATTTTTAAAAATACTGGTTGCACTATATATGATCCAAGTGGAAAAGAATTGATGTCAATTGAAATGAGGCAAAGAAGCTTTCCATTAGAATGGAAGAACATGACCTCTAATGCTTTTACTTGTACTGAAGTTGAGGCTTCACTTTGGCATAAGAGGTTTGGTCATGCTAATTTTACATCACTTAAACATATGCACAAGTTTGAGCTAGCTGAAAATATACCATATATAAGTGATGAAGCTTGTGTGTGTGATGTGTGTCAAAGAAGTAAACAAACCAGGTTGCCGTTTCCAAAAAACCAGTCAAGAAGAGCCTCAGAAAAATTGGAATTAATACACACAAATGTATGTGGTCCAATGAGAACTCCAACACTGAATGGCAGTAGATATTTTGTGCTCTTCATTGATGATTTAACAAGGATGTGTTGGGTATATTTTCTGAAGTTCAAGTCTGAAGTTGTTTGTGTGTTCCATAAGTTCAAAAATCTGGTTGAAAATGAAAGCAATGGCAGAATCAAGGCCATCAGAAGTGATAATGGAACTGAATACAAAAGTGATCAGTTTGAAAAATTCTGTGAAGCTGCTGGAATCAACCATCAACTGACAATTCCTTACACACCTTAACAAAATGGTGTAAGTGAAAGAAAGAATAGGACTCTAATGGAGATGGCTAGATGCTTGATGATTGAGAAGAACATTCCTAAAAAATTATGGGCAGAAGCTGTAAGTACAGCATCATATCTTCTCAATAGACTTCCAACAAAAGCATTGAATAAGAAAACACCTTATGAAGCTTGGTATGGAATCAAGCCTAATGTTACTCGCTTGACGGTGTTTGGAAGCATTTGTTATAGTCACATTCCAGATCCTAAAAGAGATAAGCTGAGTCAAAAGGCAGAGATTGGTGTCTTGGTGGGGTACTGTGGAAATGCTAAAGGTTATAAAGTATACAATCCACAAACAAACAAGGTGTATTCCAGTAGAGACATCAAGTTGATGAGAAATCCTCATGGGATTGGGAGTCCAGAGTTCTGGTTCAGCCACAAGTTCAAAGAACACTTCCTGAAGTGGAAGAGACTGGTACAAATGAAGATGAAATAGGACCTAATGAAGTGGAGGATGATAGTGGATCTGATTCAGAAAATCGAGTGCTAGACCCTTAGCTGATGTGTATGCAAGATACAATTCAGCAATTCTGAAACCAACAAATTTTGCTGATGCAGTAAATTCACAAGAGTGGTTGACTTCAATGAAAGAAGAACTGATGATGATCGAAAAGAATAAAATCTGGGAGTTGGCTGATAGGCCAAGGGATAAACATGTTATTGGTGTTAAATGGGGTGTTCAAAACCAAGGTGAATCCTGATGGCACTATCAACAAGTTCAAAGTCAGGTTGGTTGTAAAGGGGTATGCACAACAATATGGTACATATTACACAAATACTTTTGCTCCAGTGGCCAGGTATGAAACTATCAGATTGCTGTTTGTAATAGCTGCTCAAAGTGGCTGGAAAATTCATCAACTTGATGTAAAGTCAACTTTTTTTAAACGGCTACTTAAATGATGAAATTTATATTAACCAACCTGATGGCTTTCTAGTTTCTGGAAAGGAGGAAAAGGTGTATCTATTAAAGAAGGCATTATATGGCTTGAAGCAGGCTCCAAAAGCCTAGTACAGCAAAATAGATGAGCATTTGAGTTGCCTTGGTTTTCCAAAAGTGTTAATGAGCAAACACTTTATATGAAGCAAGTGGAGGAAGAAACAATCATCATTTCTTTGTATGTTGATGACTTGCTAGTAACTGGTAGTAATCTGGCTTTAATCGACAAAGTGAAAGATGAAATGATGAAGGCATTTGAGATGATAGATCTAGGAGAAATGAAGTACTTTCTAGGAATGGAAGTAAATCAATCAAAAGAAGGCATTTTCGTTTGTCAACAGAGATATGCCAATGAGATCTTGGAGAAGTTCTGCATGGAGAATTACAAACCAGTTAGCACTCCACTGGTTCAAAATCTGAAATTGATGAAAAAAGATGGAAGCATAAGAATTGATGAAAAGGTGTACAGAAGTTTGGTAGGATGTTTAATGTATCTAACCATAACAAGATCAGATATCATGTATGCTACAAATCTCCTCTCTAGATTCAGACAAGAGCCAATAAATTTACATCTTCAGGCAGGAAAAAGAGTACTGAGATACATCAAAGGGACTGCAGAATTGAGAATTTGGTTTAGGAAGATTGAAAATCTGATTATAAGAGGTTATACCGATAGTGATTGGGCCGGATCTTTTGATGATATGAAGAGTACCTCAGGGTATGTATTTTATCTAGGATCAAGCATTGTGTGCTGGAATTCAATGAAGCAAAAAAATGTTGCTCAATCAACAGCAGAAGCAGAGTATATAGCAGAAGCAGCAAATGAAGCACTATGGCTGAGGAAAATGCTAGAAGATCTTAAGCATAAACAAGGTGATTCAACTATCATTTATTGTGACAACCAATCAGCAGTAGCAATGGTCAAAAATCATGTGTTTCATGAGAGAACAAAGCATATTAAGATAAGATATCATTCAATTAGGGAAGCACAAGAAAATGATAAAGTAAAGCTGATACACTGCAATGGAGAAGTTCAATATGCAGACATATTTACGAAATCCTTATCCAAAGGGAGGTTTGAAACATTAAGGAGATGCCTTGGTGTTTCCATGAAAAATGCCAAGGAGGAGTATTGACTTTGGTTTGTCATTTTTGCTGTCACATTTTGTAATGTCTTTGTGTGTATTAAAATCAGCCTATGTTATGTCTATTTTTTGGGATTATAAAGTCTATCAATGTATGGTTATTCTGCCACTAGGTAAGGCTGTAGTTGGTAGGAGTTATTGACTAATGGTATGGCTGAAAATCTCTTGTATTACAATTTAAATAGCTGCTGGTAATGGTACTTTTTATTTGATGAATTTTACATAGCAGAAATTTGTTTTGCTCTTCCTCTTTGTTCTATAAAATCCTACACAGATAATGCATACAAGCATATCTTAAATCATTGGGAATTTATAGGAAAAGATATGCACACAGACATCACTGTAAATCAAGCAATTTAGAGCGAAAGATTTATGTAACAGAGTAATTTACGCATAAAAAATAGAGTTATATATATTCATGCACAGCATGATTATTTCGGTACCATAGTTGTATTAGCACAGCATGATTATGGATACATATATTTATATATATGCCAAAAAATATTTTTACCTTTCGTCGAGTTTGTTCGTGATACGAAGATGAATTGAAATTAAAATTTTCTTTGAAACACAGATGAAATAATGCCGTCTTTTTTTCCTTCCTAAAGAATATTAGACTTTGAAAAAAAATTGAGCTATCGTGCTAATAATGTGTTATAAACTAGAGAACAAAAGAGAGAAGCCAATAAACTTATATATTTTACTAAGAACCAAAATTTATAGAAAAAAAAATTAGGGTTATTAAGGATACAATAGTCATAATGACTAGAACTGCAGGGGTATAAAAATCATTTATTAATGCTACTATATTTACATCATAATTAACTAATTGAGGGAATTATTAGTTAAATATATATAGTATTTTATAGTTTTAGATGTTTGCTATACTTTAATTATTAAATGATTAAGAATTTAAATAATAACAAAAATAAGTAATTTTTTTTTTTTACACATAGGTCTCGCTAGGATTGCCTAGGTTCGTAAAGTTCGAAACTTAGCCTATACACCTAATCAGGCTTTACGCTTTTTGGAGCAGTAGTGAAAATCAATTGTTGACTTTTGTTTGAAATTTTTATTAAATTTTCATCTGCACCAAATGGGACCAAATGTCATTTATTAGGAAAACCAAGGTGGGGCCAACAAAGAAGCCAAAAAAGAACTTGAAGTTCGTTTAATTCATTTTCTTGAATTTTTAATTTTTATTTTCATGTTTGGTTCAATTTTTTGCATCTATTTTAAGATCTATACAGTACACACACCTTAATCACCTAGTTCATCATTGCAATCACTTCTAAATTATTATTTTGTCAGTCTAAAACTTAAATCCTACTGAAAACTAATCTATATAACACATTAATATATATTTATCGTTCTCATTATTGACTAGCGCTAAATGAAAAATTCAAATTTCCATCGACTGTTTGAAGGACAAAAGATGAAATAATTAATGCGTGGAATACTACTTTTTTTTTTCTTTTTTTTTTTGAGTTGTTCAACTCAAAATCTGCCTTTTAATTAACTTACAACCATAAACCAACTTCAATTTTGATTTTATATGTATCCGACAAACACTGTCCACTAGTCTTTGTGATGTTTAGAAAAGTTCGACAAAATACATTTAAGTTTTATTGCATAATTAATGGATGAAGGGATGGGAGTGGTGAAAAACACATTCATTGAATCATAATGTTTTTCCTTAGGACAATATGATTGGCATATGTAGGGCAGGGCATTTGGTATATATTGCTATTCTTGGATCTAGGGGAGAGTACAGAAACAGAAAGGCATGGGAGAGAAAATATTGAATGTTTTTTTTAAGGATATTTAAAAAATATTCTAGAAAATTTTATAGAATTAGAGGAAATTCTCTTGTGGGACGAAACGTTCATGTAATACGAAGGACATCAATCTCCAAGATTAACT